CTCCCAGCCCGAGTCCCCTGTGCAGCTCGTCTGGATCCGTCTTGTCTTGTGTGACCCCAGGTGGGGACAGTGCTGGGCTTGGGGGAACAGGATTCATCCCGTGATGAGCTCCCCAGCCTTCTCTTCCCACACAACACGGATCTGTCTCCTGCAGCCTGTGATCCCTGGCCTTCTTGCTGCTTCTTTTTTTCCCCCTGGATGCTCTCTGTAGCTGGGAGGCTCCTCAGCCAGGTCCCCTCCTGTGGGCGTGCGGAACCTGGGGAGAGCCTGGGGCGCCGGGTGCTGCCGGGACCTTCCCTGGCTGCTGCGGATGGAGCAGCCCATGTCCAGGCTGGGCCCTCGGTGGAGACATGGTGGTGGTGGCTGACACCTTGCGGTGTCGGGTGCACCCAGGGCAGCCGATGGGCCCCAAGGCTCATGCTCAGCCCTCGGTAGGGGAGAACTGGGTGAGCATGGTGCAGGTTCCTGGCCCTGCGGGGCTGGGATCCCCGCTCCGTAGCGTGGGGAGTGCCTGCCACGTCTGTCTGTACTTCTCCATGGCCCCTCTGCCCTCGCTCATGCCCCTGCAGCTGGCTCTCCCCTGGAGTGGGACTGGAGGAGCCAGAGCCCAGGGCTGCTTTTCCAAGCGGCGCAGGGGGAGGCGGATGCAACTCTGCCTTGGGCATGGGGTGCCGGAGGGGCTGGGGTCACGGAGGGGCTGGGAGTCATGTCACCGGAGCTGGTGACTTGGAACAAGTGACCTGGCCTGCCTGCACTTGCGCTTCCTGGCCCATGAGACGGACAGCGGCTTTCTGCAGGGCCCGAGGGCTCAGGGCTGCCCCATCTGCCATTCCTCACCGGGGCCATGCCCAGGCAGCGGAGGTCGGCAGCTGCTCTCTGCCTGCCGAGGGGGTTAGCTCTGCTGGGGCTGCTTAGCTGTGGGAGATGCTCGGCTGTCAGGTGGGGATGTGGCTGGGCTGGGGACCGCAGCAGGAGACCCGGCTTCTTTTTGGTCTCCTCTGAAGCAGTGTGGGGATGTGGGGAGTGAGGGAGGTGATGCTCAGCCCTTCTGGGCATGGCCGTGACTTTGGCCTTGTGCGGCAGTGGCAGCTCCAGGAGGGGTCGATGGGTCAGTGGAGAGCGGGGACTTGGTGTGCTGCCTGGGATGGGGGGCACCTTGGATGTGACCCCTGTCAGCGTTGTGCCAATCCTAGCTGTCCCAGTGCTTGGTTCCTTGGGACGGGGTGCAGGGAATGCGAAGGCAGGGGAGAAACGACGGAGGCTGCCAGCAGCCGGCAGGGACCAGGCTGAGGAGAGGGTTTGGGGAGAGAGGTGGGTGCAGTCCCTGCTGAGGGCTGCCGGGGGGAGCGCGGCTGCCTGGCAGGGCCTGCCAAGCCCTGGTGGGGCAGGGGAGCTGCTGGTCCCCGGTGCCGCCCCACCGAGCTCCGGCGGTCGGAGTCCTTCCCGTGCGGCTGGCGCGGAGGGGCTGGGGGCTGACTGCTGGGGCTGCCGCTGATTGGGCCCCGTCCCCCTCCCGTCAGAGGGCCGGGATGACGCACGCGGCCATGGCAGTGCGTAACCCGCGGCTCCCGCGCAGGCCGGCGGGCGAGCGGGGCCTGGTGCCCGGGCGCTGCCTCCTGCCTCCCCACGGGCGTTGCCATGCACCAGGGGAGTCCCCATGGCCTCCGCCGCTTCTCCCTGCGGGGCTGCTGTGCTCGGCTCTGCATCCCTCCAGTCTCCACATCCTCAAAACCGCCCTGCCGCTGTGCCGGGGCGGGGGTGCCCTGCTCCGCTGGCCCCGGTGGCTGCCGGGGTGCAGGCAGGCACCTGGGGGCTGGTTGCTGCCTGTTTGCCAGGCAGGGCTGGGGCTGAGTCCCTCCCGGGGGCAGTTTGCCGGCTTTCCATCTCTGCTGGCCTCAAGTGGGGCTGGAGTGACCCTGGGGCTGCCCCCACTGTGGGGACGGGTGCTCGGGCTGGCAATGCTGGGTGGGCAGCGGGTAGTGCTGGCACTGGAGGCGGCCCCCTCGGCCGGCTGCCAGCAGCCCCGGAGAAGGGAGCTTTGTTCCCTGGCCATTCAGTCCAGCAGTGGCCCCCACGGTCTGTGGGCACCGGCGCTTCCCGGGCAGCCACGGGCGGGTGCTGGCAGGGCCGCGCGGTGGGGTCTGGGGTGGGATGGCGGAGGATGGAGTAGCCATTCGGCACGTCTCTGGCCAGGAGGGGAGTCCTGGGGCCGAGGCTCCTTGTGCTGCCCCTCTGCCCATGGGGCACACGCAGGCAGGTGCTTTTCAGCAGCTCCCCTGAGCTGGGGCGGGCCGTGGCAGGATCCACCCCGACTGCAGGGCAGCACCCACACGGCTTCCCCTCTTGGCAGGTCTCACCAGGGCAGGTCACCGCTTACAAACCCCCTTTCCTCCTTTCTCAGGGAGAACCTGGGGCTGCCGCATCTCCCTACAGGGTCTCACAGCATCTCCCCGACGGCTGTCCACGGCAGCTTCTGCTGTGATGGCATCTGTCCACAGCAGGAACTCCCCACTCAGCAGCCAGAAACACGGGGTGCAGCCCCTAAGCTGGGGCAGCCGCGCAGTGGGGGCCAGGGAAGACAGCATCCCACCGGCTGGCAAGCCCAGAGAGACATCCTGGTGGGTTTGTGGTGCTGGGTGACTCTATTTGCCCCAGCTTTGCTCCTGGAGATGCACCCAGTTGGTTGCGTGCTCATCGCCCAGCCGGGGGAAGCAGTGCAGGGTCGGCTGGGCCCCAGCGTGGGGCCCTTCCTCGTGGCACCGCTGCCTGCCGTGGCATGGGGACCACTCTGCTGTGGGATGCTCTGGACACCTCGGCCCCAGGCAGCCCCGGCTGGTCAGGGTGGGAAGTCACCACCTCCCGCCAGCTCCCCATGGACCTCCACCCCTCTGCAGCCGGGGGGAGATGCCCCTCTCCCTGCCTGCCCTTGTGCCCCTTCTCACATCCCGCCATGGGCAGGAGAACGGGGTAGCAAGGAGCGGTGCTGGGAGGCAGCCAGCAGCCGCAAGCCATGCTGAGGCAGCTGCAGTGAGGTGTGTGGGGGTTATCGAAAGCCCTTAGAACTGTCCCTGGCCCCAAGTCCCCCGAGGCAGCGGGTGCAGGGGGGCAGCCCTGCTCGGCAGGCAGGGGCTGGGGGGCTCCGGAGGCCCTGGCTGCAAGCGCAGCCCTGCTCATGCAGCAGCTTCTGTGCAGAGTTAAAGGTGAGCGCTGGCGTTTCTCACAGTGCAGAGGCAGGAAACGGCGAGCCGGCAGCCCCGGCACGGGGGTGAAGCCCCCTGCCCTGATGGGGTCGTGGGACCGACCCTGGTGGCAGAGGGCAGCGAGGTGACCCGCTGCCTCACAGGGGTCTGCCCTCAGAGGGGTCCAGGGCCCTCATTACAGGGTGGCCACAGCTTGCAGCCCTGGGGGCCAGCACAGGGGTTGTCACCGGTGGGGCTCCCACCCTGCCGGAAGGGGGTGGCCCCATGGTGCATCTTCTTGCCGCGGCTTGCCTGGGGAAGGAGCGTTTCCAGCATTGCCCTGGTTGGACTCGGTCATCCAGTGCCAGCGGCGTGCTGCGCCTGCCATGCGCCCAGGGAGCCGGAAGAGCCTCAGCTCAGCTTCACGGAGGGTCTGGGCTCCTGTAGCTGGTGGCTGTCCAGGCTGGTGGAAGGAGTGGTGGGTGACGCAGCCGACAGGGGCATTGGCATTTGGGGAGGTCTTACTGCCGGTCTCTGAGCACCTGGGGGTTTCCTCCATCCCTCGGCCCTGCCTCCTCATCCCAGGGATCTCAGCCGGGCTCTCCTCCGGGGCTCCCCTCTGTGATCCCTGCGGTTCACCCTCCTCGCTGCTCCGGTTCCTGGCTGGTGCAGAGCAGCTTGGCTGTGCTGCTGGGGTCTTGGCGGGGAAAGCGCAGCACAGCCGTCCCCTCCACAAAGCCGCACTGTTCAGAACAAATCCGCCTAGAATTGGGCTGCATTTTTGTCAAGTGATTCATCAGCACGTGAATGGAAAAGGCTGGAGCCCACTGAACCAGTAACCGTTCCCCGCGTCTGGAGCCACGGGGCCGGAGTCAGCGCGCAGCTCTCCAGCTCGGTTGCACCCAAGTTACGCCGCAGACGCGTGTGGAGCAGCAAAGGGCCTGGCATGCGGGAGGACGCGACAGCCGCTGGGTCAGGGGGCGAGGGATGGCCCATGCCTGCGGTGACCCAGGCGCACTGCTGGCAGAGGAGCAGGCGGAGTCACTGGCAACGTGCAGGGATTGAGCCAGCGCTTGCCAAGCAGAGCTCTTCCAGGGGGGGGGGGGGGGGGGGGGGGGGGCTGAGCTGAGGGGCTTACCCTGCTGCCCACTGAAGGCAAGGAGGCTGGGGCTTCCTGCGTGGCCTCGATGCTGCTGTGCTGCCAGTGTGCCTGGGCAGCCCAGCCCTTCCCCAAGGGAGGGGAGCACGGCTGGGAAAGCCCTCGGTGCAGCCCTGGTACCAGCAGGCGTTGTGTCCGCCTGCCCCGCACCGATTGAGTGCTCACATTGACCAGGGGCGGCTGTTTTGGGGAGTCTCTTCCCCGGCCCCTGCTCGTGCTGGTGGCCACCCTCTCCTTTCCAGAGTAAACTCAGTTGGCACTTACTGATACACAAGTGGGGCCGTGCCGCCCTGACCTTCAGCTTAAATAGCCCATCCATGTGCCCCCGTGCCCTGTGGTATTTATAGAGGGTGGTCAGATTCCCTCTCCTTGCTGTGCCAGACGAAAGAAGGCAAGCGTGTCTGTGCCAGGCTGGTGGGCGGCCCCCGGCTGCTCCCACCTCAGCACCTTTCGGTGGGGGACACAAGCCATGTCCCCAGTTTGGCTGGTGCTTGCCCTCCTGCCGCCCTGGCCAAAGCGTGGCTCCCCATTCCCTACCCCACGGCATGCACATGGAGTGGGGCTGGCAGGGCACCGGGGTGCCCCCGGGGGACGGGGGAGCTGGCCTCCCCGTGGGATGGTGGTACACCCAGTAGACCGGGGAGCCCTGCGAGCCCCTGCCCTGCAGCTAGGCCCCCTCCCCAGTGCCCCTGGCTGTGAGGGTGCTGAGCCAGAGCTGCGGCTTTGGGGCTGCCACTGCCCCCTGTGCTGTCAGCGTCCCTGGCGTCCCTGGTGCTGCCTGGGGCCGGCCGGGAGCTCCCATCCCCGCACCGGCGAGGGAGCCAGGCAGGGCAGGGAGCCGCAGTTCTCGGCGCAGGGACCCAGGCCCTGCACGCCTGAGCGGCTGCGTCCACCGCACACGGCTGAGACCTGCACAGCACGGCACCGAACCAGCTGCCGTGTCCTGAGCTGGTGAGTAAGGGTGAGCTGGCTGCCTGCTGCCTTGTCTGCCCTGCCGGGCGCCCTGCGGGGAGCCCTGCAGGTCACTGCCACGTGCTGAGCACTCACGTGCTGGTTTATGTGTCCCCAGGCTGTGCTGGCAGCGTGACCACAGGGACCCTTCCATGGCAGAGCTGTCCCCGGGTCTCTGTCCCCGGGCTCCAGGGTGCCACGGCCTCACTGGCCCTGGGGCACCCGACCTTGTCCCTCAGCACTGACTGCTGAGACCGCCCCGGGGCCGCGCAGAGCCAGGAGGGCTCTTGCCTTTGGCTGGGCTGCTCGGGGCTGCTCGCTGGGGAGCTCACTGCCTCCCCTCACCGGGTCGTGTTTTTCCACTGCCCCGGCACTCAGCATCCCCGGGTTGTTTTTGCAGGCAGCGAGGGCAGGAAGTGACACCCTGTGGCCCCCCGCCCCGGGAGGATGCGGTTTCTGTGCCTGCACGGTGTGAGGCTCCGCACGGCAGTAGCTGAGGTCTGGCAGCGAGCTGGCAGCCAGAGCATCGCCCCGTGGCAGCTGGGACCCCTCTGTGGTGGGACGGGGATCCCATGCTCCGGCTGTGGGGTGCAAAGGCAGCCTAGTCCTGGGACCCCCGCTCCCCCAGCACGGGGAGGGGCCGGTGGCTCCCTGGCTTCTCTGAGAGGGGGGCTGCAGAGCGTGGGGGCCTGGTGGGGCTGGGGACCCTGGCACGAGCTGTCTATGCAGGCACTTGGTGGGCAGCGCTGGTGCCCGTGCTAGCCATGGCGAGCTGCCGGGACACTGCCACAGGGACGCAGCTCCCGCCTCCCTCTGCACCCAAAGGTGACCATCCAAATAGCTCCCTCTGTCCTTTTCTCCCCCAGCCCTGCCAGGCCACGCAGGCATTTGGCTGGGGCCCTCGTCAGAGACCGGTTTAATTAATGACAGTGGGACAAATACTGCGGTGCTCCCAGGATGCTGCTGGCAGGTTTTAGCTGTCCCGGTGCCATCTGGGTGACGGGCACGAGCCCGGGCAGGGCCAGTCTGTGCCCACGAATCTGGCAGGGGCTGAGCAGAGACCGAGCCAGTGCTGGCCGAGGGCAACCGGTCCAGCACGGCTGGTGGTGGTGGGGCTGGGCGATCCTGGGATGACCTTTCCTTATCATCCGCCGTGAGGGTGCTGCTGCAACACTGCCCGTCACTGTCCCACGCGTGCCAGAGCCCAGTCCCTTTGGGGACAGCATGTGACAACCAGCTCTGTGGGCAGCTGGGCAGCTGTGGGGAGGGCAGTGAGGTTTGCTGCGGGCAGCGTGGGCAGCCGGCCCCGTGCAAGGGTGGGAGCCCCTGTGGTATGGGGGGGGCTGAGCGGGCCCCGTGCAAGGGTGGGAGCCCCTGTGGGTATGGGGGGGGCTGAGCAGGACCGTCCTGCCGGGGCAGCACTGCATGGTGCTGGCAGCACCTCCGGTCCCCGGCCACCCCTGCTGACCTCAACACCTCTCCATTGCAGTGATCCGAGCAAAGGCCGTCTCTGCGAAAGAGGTGGATTCAGGGAACGATATATATGGGAATCCGATCAAACGAATCCAGTATGAAATCAAGCAGATCAAGGTAATGGGGCACATTGGGGCAGGAGGCTGGGGAGGACAGGGCAGCCTCTGTGCCGGCCATTCACTCCCGCTCCTTCTCCCCAGATGTTTAAGGGCCCTGACAAGGACATAGAGTTCATCTACACGGCTCCATCCACCGCCGTGTGCGGCCGGCTGCTGGACACCGGCGGGAAGAAGGAGTATCTCATTGCAGGTGGGCAGCCGCGAGGGAGGGCTCTTGGGGGACGTCGGTGGCAGTGCTGGCCCTGCTGCCTCACGTGCCTCCCGAGACGCCTGTGACATGTGCCTGCTCCCCAAGCACGGCCCCCCCTGCCTCCTGCTCCCACCACCAGCCCTTGGTGGACGCCCCGGCTGTGTCCTGGCCATGCTCAGCAGGGCTGGGGCGGGGGCAGCTGTGGGACGAGCCTCTGCTCCCCAGGGTTCACTGGGGACAGTGCACGGCAGGAGGAGCTGGATTGCAGTGGCCTCCAGCCCCCCAGGCCAGGCTGAACCCCAGGCACCCCGAGTCAACATCAGGTCCCAGGGTGCCTGGAGGGACCCTCTGAGTGGTCTGTCTGGCCTCTCCCCAGGCAAGTCAGAGGGCAACGGCAAGATGCACATCACGCTCTGCGACTTGGTCTCCACCTGGGACTCGCTGAGCCCAACCCAGAAGAAGAGCCTAAACCAGCGGTACCAGATGGGCTGCGAGTGCAAGGTGAGCGGCCGGGCTGCCCCCGAGCACGGGCTGTGCCCCACTCCCCATGCCAGTGGGGTCTGCAGCCCCGAGGCAGGCGTGGGCTCCATGATGAGATGCTCTTCCCCGTCCTTCAAGGATGGTGCTGTGCAGGGGACACGGCACATGGCTGGGGATACAGGAAGGGCACCCGAGCCTCCGGCTCTCTCCGGCTGGGAACCAAGGCCAGCCCTGGGACTCACACCCAGGGGTTCCCTCAGTCCTCCCACGTTGGAGTTGTGTCCCTGCTGTGCCCCGCAGGGAAGGGGCAGCCTGGCATCCCTGGTCCAGAGCTGGGGGGGTGGATGAAGCAGAACTGTGGAGGACCACCAGCCCCAGCTGCCCAGCGCTGCTTCCTCCCGCCCCCCTCCCTCCCCGGCGTTTCCCCCTTGGGGTGGTCAGTGATGGTCTCTGTTGTGCGCAGATCTCGCGCTGCCTCTCCATCCCCTGCTTCGTCTCCTCCTCGGATGAGTGTCTCTGGACAGACTGGGCGATGGAGAAGAACAACGTGGACGGGCGGCAGGCGAAGCACTACGCTTGCATCAAGAGGAGCGACGGCTCGTGTGCCTGGTACCGCGGCATGGCCCCCCCCAAGCAAGAGTTTCTCGACATCGAGGACCCCTAAGCCAAACGAGCGCATTCCAGTAGCCAGTAGAAAAAACCTGCGAGATGTTAGACTGGTCCACGCTGATATCAATTCCTGGAGACAGCATGAAAATCCGCTCGGCCGTGGGGGTCCCTGGGCTGCGGCGGCTGCCAAGCGCGTGCAGGGGGCAGGGACGGGGACCCGCTCTGTCGCAGGCACGTGGCAGCCCGTGGCTGTGCTGGGCGCTGCTGCACTCACGGCAGGGCTGAGCGGGGCATGGGGGCACCCCCCTGCCGGGGCCTCGTCCCTACCTGGCCATGCTCAGCCCTGGCGCCCCAGCAGCTGTGAAGGAATCGACTCACAAGTGGCGGGAGCTGCCCCGTCTGCGTAGCAGGTCTACCAGTGCCCCCGCCGCGGGGGAGCCACCCCAGCAGCTCTTGCCAGGCAGCCCTCCCCACCGCAGCGTCCCCAGCTGCCCTCCAGCGCTGGGGACCCCGCTGTCCCCTTCCCCACCCACTGCCCGTCCCTCCCTTTGGGGTGCAGGAAGGGTACAGCCCTCCAGGCAGGGGCTCTGGGGGGCTTTACCATGCAGCAGAGCCCCTGGCTGTGTGCGAGGGGCTACGGGCCTTTCGCGGGGCCGGATGGCTCCTGTGCAGGTGCCTTGTCCCAAAAAGCTGGAGGGGCACGTTAGCACGGCTGGGGTGACACCCCGCTCCCGCATGCACCCAGGCACTGCTGCCCCTCTCTCCACATGCTCCTCTCCCCATGGGGACATGGAGGTGAGTGCGGGGTTCACCGCCTTCCCC